AAATGCCAAAGTTGGAGTCAGAGTTGACATATTTTTCCCAACTCTGACTCCTCTGGCCAGAAATTCCTCCGAACTCTGACTCCGACTCCACAGCCCTGGTGCAAATATCAAGTTCATGTGCAAATTGGGGAAAACTGTTGCAGAGATGTTATCAGCCCTGCAGCAAGTTTATGAGGAAGAGGCCCAACTAGTGGTGTGGACAGTGGTTTCTCCATCATGCACTGAGTCACACTTCACTTGCTCTGCAGCAATTCCTCACCGACAAAAGCATTCCTGTCATCATCCAGTTATCTTACTCTCCAGATCTTGCTAACATGTGTTCGTTGTCCGATCATAAAAATCTTTTGCGAAAGTGTTCGTTATCCGATTTGTTCGTTAACCGATCACACACTGTAATTTAGATGTCAAAATTTCCCCCTGCGGGGGAGAGGGACAGGATTAAGGCTTACCACGAAGAACTAGACTTATATTATACTAGTTTAGATGCGTTTTTTTGCATTTTTGATTGTGTTTTAATAGGGTATGTCAAGAGAATGTACACTAAGATGCGATTTTTTGAAATTCTCCCCTGTGGGGAAGTGTTATACATTTACAATACATTTTGAGCCACAGCAATGCATGACCGGGTCTGCTAGTATTTATATGTATTCATATATACAAATATTTTATAAACAAAAGCTGCAATCTTTTATCTTTGTAATATTTAATGAAAGATTTACTTATGTTCATTTTATTTATTTATTTATTATTTTTTTTTTTATCAGTAAATTAATATTTGTATACCAAGAAGCAGATTATTCTCTAAATTTTTGTCCAAAATCTGAGATCTATTCTTGAATTTTGTAAATGTTATTTTTGAGAAAATTATTTATATTTGCATTGCTTCCAAATAACAAAATTTTCTTCATTTTATCTATCACCAGTAAAAATTCTTTTCGGTTAAATTTTTGTTAAGATAATACCAAAAACTTTGCTTTCATTTCTTTTTTTAATTTTTAATATTTCCATTTGATTATATTTATATTTACCTGAAATTTTGTCAATACCTGGGATATTAAATGGTAATAAAGATAAGATACAAACTGGAATGTCTATTGAAATAACATACATCTTTCTTTTCCAGCAAAACTAGTTTTATTTGACTAACATTTTTTACCTCTTTTATAGGCCAAACAGAAGAGAATGTTTGTTAAAACTTATATTCTAAAACTGAACATTCTCAAACAGAACACATTTAAACAGGAGAATCTCTGTTTCAACTTATATTCAACAACAATTTTTGAGCAGAACATTTTCAAAACCATTTGTTTTTGAATTTATTCATACCTATTCTTTGTACCTAAAAACTTCTTTCATTTCTGTTATACAGGTTTCAGACTTATAGTAAAATTTAACATAGAAAAATCACTCTATTTGAGTTTAATTTCCATTTAGACAGGTTTTACTGTATATTAATTACAATTAATGAATATATGTACTAATAGTAATCAAAATCTGCATACAACACTTCAAATTATAGTCAAATTCCTGAATGATAATACTGTCACAATATAACAGATCACTAAATATTTGTTCACATAAAAATAATATATGATATGTTATATTTGTGTTTGTTTTTAATATCAAATTTCAAATTCTTACTTTTAATATAACTAGTATTTTTAAAATTTATATTTTTAAACAATGTTCTTTCAGAAATTTTAATGTTATAAAAACTAAATTTATATATGATCCATCCATATATATATATTTATATATATAAAAGGAACAATTTAAACTTACTTGTAAGCTTCCAAAAACTTCTGGAAAGGTTTTGCAAAAAAATCCTTTAAAGACAGACTAGCAGCTGCAAAAATATATTTATTTAATATTTCATGTTCAGTATTTAAAAATAAAATTATGAAAGTTTATACAGATTCACATTTTTAGTGTAATTTAGCATGAATGAAAAGTATGAAGAATAATGTAAAGTTTTTTTACAATAAGTAAATAGTGTTAACTAACTATTATTTCATATTAGTTATAATTTGAAATACCATAATTTCATGTAGGTAATCCATGATAGCATATACTATGCAGAAAATTGCTAGAACAAAACTAAGATCTTTGTATAACCCATCTCTATCCCATATCCCATGACTCCAGAATAGCTACTGAAAGCATAACACTTACTGGTATACAGTTTAAAAAAAGAGCATCTGAAGTATTACAACATTATTTTTCTATTTTATTACACTTCACCATAAGTAACAAAAAATGTAATACTGTAATATTGAAAGGGAGGCTCCAAATGTCATATGTCAAAAATACAAAAATGTCTTTTTTATTATATTGCTCATTTCTGTTTCATTTACCAAATATTATTATTAAATTATATATTGAATAGTTTGAGTATTTTGAGTATATGTCTCTTTAATCCGAATCAATAAAAACCCGGTAGACTTCCTCTTAGCTATAAGGTTAGGTACTCCTTTATTGCAATTCACATATGCATTTTGGGCCTATATAGTATCTAAACCCCTCTTCAGTATAAATGCTACATATATAAAGAACAAAACAAAAATTAAAGACAAAGTCATTCTAAAAATATATTTCAGATGATCACCATTGTAAAAATGGTGATCATCTGAAATATATTTTTAGAGCAACTTTGTCTTTAATTTGTGAGACAATAAACTGCTTTAAAATTTCAAATTGTTTTAAAATTATTCATTATCTCGAGTACAGGCCACACCTTAATGTTGAACAAAGATTGCTTCATTTTTGATTTTTCTTCAGTTTCTAACTTTATTAAATCAGTTAAATATGTATGAGAAAATCACTTAGGATTTTTATTAATAAGACATGTTTTTATGTATTCTTTTTACTGTAAATAAATCTTTCATTTTAAGTGAATCACTTTGGCTATTGCAAAGCTAAAACTAAAGTGAATGGATTTATCTTGTTAAAGTAAAATCTCTAAATTATATTAAAGAGTATTTATGTTTTCATGTGTAATTCTTATATTTTAACTTTTGAAATCAATCGCTTTAAGGAAATTTATTCTAGCAATACTCAAGAAAATCATAAATACCTTTCTTATCTTTTTAATGAGTGCTTTTCTAGCTCTCCTTTCTTCAGGTGTTTCATTTTTGGATCTAACTGTGCTTGCTGTTGAATGACAAGTATAAACAGTTGATTGATTGTCACATCTCTCTTCACAACTTTCACTGTCATCACTACTGTCTTCATCATTTACATGACTCTTCTGTAATTTTTTTAACTGCTGTTTTGTTAGTCCTCGATTTGCAAGGACATTAATTGGTATACCAGTCTTTTGACAAAGTTTGATGCCTTCCTACAGAAAAAATTAATTAAAAGCTTTTATAAGTAAGATTTAAATCAAGAAGTATACTTTAACAATAGCAGCTTATTAATTTATTTGTGGCATATATCAGATTTAATTTTCATTAAATAACAATGTTTTTATGTTTAATATAAAAACATTGTTATATATTTTTATATATTTTAACTGTAATACTAAAGTCTAATCAAAAGAGATTGATATTGATGTGTAAAATAAACGAAGGGATAACTTTTGCTTTCATTTAATAAACACATCTTCCAATATAAATCTTTGCTCTAACATCTTTTATTTTAAAACATGAAGGTCTATTAGCAGTTTATTCTTTCATTATTAATGGAAATTTGAAATCAGATTAATCAATAATTCAAAATTTAATTACAAGATTATATCAATATATGACATTATTCATTCAAACATTTGCATGTGTTTAATTAAAGTTTCAACATGTAAAAAAATAATTGTTTCAAAATTAAAAATATATTTCATATCCATATAATTACTGGATTAAACGAATTTGAACATCAAAACTGTAGCAGTAGTTAGATATGTGTATCTTGAAACCATAGTGTCTCTTTGTACAAGCAATTCTGTGAAACCCGTGTGGAACATAAGTAAATGTTTGTTTTGCATTTTTCATTATACATGTCATTTTTATTTTGGAAATATTTAATATTAATAAGATTAATTAATTTCACAAGAAGAGAATAGAACAGAAGAGTTTAAAATTGAAGTAATCGAATATTTTAAAGTTTTGTTTGAGCTAATTAATTGAAAAATAATTATTTATGTATGAAATATAATTGCTGAAGCATGGAAGGCAACAGGGAACCACCATGCATCTGTATCTCCCCAATATTTGATGGACAGAAGATTAAAAAATAATCCATTTAGCAGAAGAATGGATAGGACTCCTTTGCAGTTGGCTACTAGGAGAAGTGCAGCAGATCTGTGCTGGAATTAAGAAAGTACACAGATCAAATGAGAGAAATGCTTCAAATGATGCTACATGATCAAAGTCATTAGGAACTTGGAGTGGATACAAAAATTCCACACAGCTATGCAAACCTTAAGAAATGCATTAATTAATTAATTAACATAGGTATCTGGAATGTTAGATATTTATATCAAACAGGATAGATGACAAAATGTAATGCATGAAATAAAAATACTGAAGATCTCAATCTTATGGATCTCCAAAATAAGATACGCTGGAAAAGGAGATATTACCACTGATGAAGAAATAAGATTCATCTATTCAGGAGGAATGGAACATCAACGAGGAATTGGAGTGATGCTGGAAAAGAAGATGGCTAAATTGGTTAATGGCTATTGGAAAGTATCTGATAGGACTATAGTATTGAGGATAGATGCTAAACCAAGGGGCCTTTTCTTAATCCAGACATATATGCCAATAAATGACCATTCAGATAAGAAGACAGAGGAAGCTTATAAACAAATACCTCAACTTAAAAAGAAGAAAGATGTAATGATTATTATGAGGGAAATGAATGCCAAGATTGGGAGAGGAGGAGAAGACAATGTAATTGGACCATGGAACTTAGGATAAAGAAATGAAAGAGAAAGTAGACTTGAAGTTTGCAGAAGAACCAACATGATTGTAATTAATACCTAGTTCCAATAGCATGAAAGAAGATTGGCTACATGGAGATCTTCAGGGTTAAGAAAAGCGGAAAACAAGAAATCAAATTGATTACATTCTAGTCAACTAAAGATATAGAAATGCAATAGGACATAAGGTCCTATCCATTCTTCTACTAAATGAATTATTTCTGAATCTTCTGTCCAGCTTGTGGTTTGTCCCCAACACTTTTCGTTCATCATCCATTCACTGTAGATGTTAAAATGTTCAAAAATTTAGATGAAGATGTAAAAATTAATGGACACCTTATCAATACCATTATGTATGCTGACAACATTGTTCTGCTATGTAATAAGCATAGCAAAGCAATGTTATCAAAAAAGTTACAAAAAATTCTAAATAGATTGAAAGAAATGGGAAAAGCAAGATACCAAATGAAAATATATGTAAACAAAGTAAAAGTTATGACAATGTTAAGAGAAGAAAATAAAGATCTATGATTATGTTGGCTAACTTGGCAAAACATCAAAAAATGGAAAGCCTACAACCATGAAGAGTGGAGAACTGTCCATCAACTGCAACACTCTATAAAGAGAATACCTTATGAATGAATGATTATAAGTGGTGCCTCATATAATGTACTTAATCCGTTCCAGGTACACATCCGTTAAGTGAAAAGTCTGTTAAACGAAATGCATTTTCCCATAGAAATACACGTTAAAACATATAATTTGTTCCGCAGCATAAAATAACCGTACTGTATCATAAAAAAAATGAAAATGGAGCAGTCACCAATTATGCCGGGTAGTCAGATGTTGTGAGGAGGAGATGGAGGAACACTTTCTTCAACATTCATACAGATACAGACTTTTTACACATTGCAGCAGGTCTCTTTTTATTGTTTTTTAATCAGAGTCAGATTCAGGAGAGGCTACTGGGGCTTGCAGGGTCAACTCCTCTTGTTCCATCCTTTGTTTTTTGGCAGATGACTTCTTGAAAAACATGTCCAAGGTGGTCTGTTTCTCTCTGTTCTTCAACACCTGTCGGAAATGATGGGCAAGGGTGTCATTGTAGAGATCATCGATCCTGTTGGCCTCAGCTCTGTTTGGATAATGAGTGTTGGCAAACAATCTCTCCCCATTTGACAAGAGAGTTTTTGCCAACTTTTACTCCTGATGATTTCTTGCTTTGTTTCAATTAAAATCACCTTTCTGTTTTTTTAGAAGCCATGATTTGCACAACACTTGAATAAATTTAAATACCCTGCACTGAGGTGATGTACGTAATAAACAAGGGAGCAAGCCGAATCCCAACGGCAGCTCTGTACGTCAGATATACTAATAATATATTCTAATAATACTAATATATTATAAAAATAGCAGATTGTCATTGGCAACGGCAAAAGAATGGAAACAANGTTAAAAAGGTTTTATGTGTGATAGTTTATTTACTCACTCCAGTAAGTTGAGAAGAAGACTGTTATAATAATAGTAACTTTTAGAAATCCATTTAAAGAACAGTAATATAAAACAGAATATAATTATAACAGTCTTCTTCTCAGTTTATTTACTCACTCCAGTAAGTTATCACATACCAGTATAAAACCTTTTTAACCAGTAATTGAACTTTAAGGTAATTTCCGAACGTTTAAAGTTGAGCAACATCGTTCTAACGTTCCAATTTTTGGAAGTCAGTTTTGTGCTCATGATAAGTTTAGTCAGGTCTATAGTGAATGGGTAGCTGGGCAGTGAAAGACAAGTTTTGACTTACCTAAATCAAACCATTCATAAAGAATTGAATTTTCAACTAGATTTTGAACTAGAGTGCAGCAGGCTGGGCTTTTTACTACATCAGTCATCTGATTGTTAATCTTCACTGTTTAATTTTCAATAAATGTGGTGCTATGTATGAGGAGGAAGTACCTTAAGTTGGAAAAGTAAATTTCATCAAAGTGCAAAAAATGTGATTAAAGTTTAAATTGTTGATTTTTAGAGGTTTGCATTTGTTAGGCGTCAGTACAAATTAACAAAATAACAAAGTTTCTTAATTTAAATGTAGTTTTAAAAGTATTTTTCTTCAAAATTTGAAGAAAAGCTTTAAAGCTGTTTTTCTCAACTTTGTAGTGTTTTGAAAATTCATATTCAATTTTTAACCAATCGAGCCATTTTCCTTTCTTAAATACTCTTCTTGCTCTGTAGAACAAGATGCACTCAAAAAAATAAAAATTGATAAAGATGCCTTTTATAGAATACATCATATATTATTTAAACAGAAACAGAACATCTTTAACAAAACTTTAACAGAAAACAGACTTTTTCAATGTGAAGACTATACAATTTATAATGACTATTTTTCTGAACGACATGAGTTCAAAGAAGTGAATTGTTTTTTTGAGTTATAAGATTAATTAAATTACAGTATTTGCCAGCATTTAAGATGCATTTTTTCCCCCAAAACTATTGTCTAAAAATGAGGCTCATCTTATATGTCAGCAAATGTAAATATCTATATTTAGGAAATGCATAGTTGCTTCAATGATGTTTTCGTTTGTACTTGAATATTCTTTGCTTTTCCAATTTTCAAATAAATTTTTAATAGATATGATTATATTAATATAAATCAAAAAGAAATAAATGATTTTTTCTTAAGATCCTGTAGATTATTCATGTCCATTACCAACATTAAAGAATGCAACTCTATTAAGATATGAACCACCCATGAAAACTGAAATTGCAATTTATGGAACAGCAGCTATTGTCCTTTGCAATAACTCCATATTAGATCAACAGTCAGTCATTTACTGTGGAGAAGATAATGCTTGGATTGGAAGAACCTGTGAATGTATGTAATTTAAAGATTTTAGCATACCATAATAATTACATAATTTTTAAAATAATTTGTTACTGACATGTGACTGTATGTTATCTTTAGTTCAGTGTTATTAAATACATATTGTTGTTCACGTTCTTCATTTAACAGATACTGAATGTTCAAATTTGCTGTCGATAACAAATGGAAAAGTTAAATTTATTAATCGAGTGCCAAATAGAATTGCCTCTTACAAATGCAATGAGGGATACAGAGAAGTGGGTCAATCATTCTCTATTTGTCTACAGAATGGTTCTTGGAGTTATACAAATTTTTATTGTCATGGTAAGTATGATTATAATTTGTATTTATTACTATTACTCAGTATCTAATAAGTTCATTTTGCAGAAGTACCAAATATAGCCTCTAATTTCATTGGTAAGTCCTTTTTTGTTATATATTTGTTTAAATATAGCAACAATTAGTCACAAAAAACTACTTTTTTCCAAACATAAAAAATTAAATTTTAGTTTAATTTTGCAAAAGAATATTAATTTATCTTAATTGCAATTACCCAAAATTTCTATTTACTGAGATTGCAATAAAAGCATAGTAATATTAGAAAAAAAAAAACAAATGATAATTTGACATGAAGATAATTTATGCTTCTATCTCAGAAGAATAAGTGAGTTATTCAAACTGTAGCTGACATAAGACTAATTAGTAAAAAATTACATTGTTTAATCACTTTTTAACTAACTCTATAATAGTTCAATTTAATCCAGCTCTAGCTGCTTGAATAATTAAAAATGCAGTTAGTTTTAATATATGTCTATTGAGTTTTAAATAAAACAGTATTTGTGGTTTCTTTATTAAACACTAATTCATTCTTAGCTTTAATGTTAATAATAACATATCAAACAATAAAATCTAAACTGTTATCTTTATTTTATACTAAGCATACTTACACGTATCCAAAACTGAAGAACAAGCAAGCAATTGTGTTTTTTCACTAAGCCAGTGGCAACTTGTATAGATTTGTGAACAAAGAAGAAAATGCATATTCCATATTGACAGGTCTCTGTCTGGGCATAGGTAGAGAATGGATAAAAATTGCTTACCAATGTCCATTGCGTCCATTGCTGTATTATCTTTTTCACCACAGACTTATTTATAAAATCCTATAAATTGTGTATTATCCTCTTAGACATCAAGTATTACAGTTCCTGCCATATTTGTCTGCATTAAACTACAGTTCTCTCTATTCATGTAGAACTGTTGTGTGTCCTTAAGTTTTGGTCATGTGTATTTCTTCATCCTAACAAACTTATCTAGATTTTCATTGATTCAAATTGGATCTAATCTATCAAAAGTTAGGATAAACAAGTTTTTATTTTGTATCATACTATATAGTTTTTTGTGACTAAGTTAAGAACTTCTTATAATGCATATTAAATAAACTATCATCTGTAATTCAAACTTTTAGAACATTTTTGTATTTTCTAAATAACTTAAATATATTTATTAATTTTTATATTCTAAATTCACATATTTAATTTAATATGAAACCTTCAAAAACCTTTCAGCTATATGTTTAACCATAGTGACATCAATTTGTTTGTTAATAATTTTTATTGGAGTGTCCCATAAATTTAAAAAATTAAAGTAAGTAACCTTAACAGATATTTATTTATCAGTTAACTTGATGGTTGAAAATAATTAATTTCATCAATTTTTAGAAGCAAACATGCAGCATCATTAATGGAAGAACATTATTATTTCAAATATGGACTCTCACCGGCTCCCAATACAGAGCCAATTGACACCACACGCAATTCAGCAATTTATGAAGAAATTGCAGAAAATATAATAGAAATGCCTGATTCCATTCCAGAAAATAACAAGAATGTATTGGATAAAGAGGAAATGTCAAACAAAACTGAAAATATTTACATGGAACCTACAGATGAATATAATAAGCAAACACACACAACTTGCAGAACATAAGCAAGCATAATGTATTGAAGAATATTTTATATTAAACATATCAAAATGATGTGATAGTTGTAAATATTTTAAAGTACAAAAAATTATATATAATTTTATGTGAATTGTTGCAATTTTACTCATAGATTTACCAAGTTTTAATGTAGTTTTGTAGTTAAGTTATAAAAATTCTGAAATATTTGCATCACTAGTTTCATATTTATATTTTGTGCTCTGTTATTAACAAAGTAAACTTGTTCTGTTTCAATTGGAAGCAGTTCCTTGATGTTCTGGTAGACTTAAGATGTTGTTTATCTAGTCATGTAATTATTTGTGTATTATAACAATTTATCTCATTGAAACACTTTATGAATTAGTATTTTTTTTAATGTAAGAAATTTTATTGAAATAAATATTGAATCATTTATTATATTTGGATAATTTGATTTATATCTATACACTAAACATTAAAATGTTCAGAGATACTTGAATTCTTTTAGGTAAATATGCATAATTTAGTTCAGTTATTGACAAACCAAAGTTACCAGTTTTATTAATAAAATAGGAAATTCATGTTCAAAATGTTCTCAAAATTACTTTACAACTTAAATATATTATTTAAAATCTATTGAAAATTATGCACAGTAATACATCTCTCTCAATGACTTCCACATCTGGAAGTATTGTATCATTCAAAGACTGGTACTGACTTTGTAATTTCATTATCTAAAATCTTTCTTTAAAATAAACTTTTAGCTTATAGAAAAAGAAAGTCTAGAAAGAATTTTTAATGCCGGGCTGCAATTTTTCAATTTAAAATATATGCTCATCTCAAATTAGTTGTGGCTTGCCCTTTGTATCTCATACTTATCCTTTAACAATATAGTCATGCCAGTAATCTATCTAACACCTTTCAGAAGAAAAGTTCTTAAAAATCTACATTTAAATTTGTTCTATATTGAAACATTTTGTTCCTTGTTTGTATGAATCTGAAGGTGAAACTAAAAGTATCAATATCAAATATTTCGGATAAGGCTGTACTAGCAACATTCATATCTTAGATTTTAGGAACAGCCATTTAGTTATAAACGAATCAATCAAAAAAGAATAACGATGACGTCATTCTCATTTAACTCCAACTTTACGAATGTATCCTATGAATGACATTGTCTGAAGAGGACAGCTATATACTGTCAAAGGTACTTGAGAAATAAATCTTTTTCTGTCACACCAATTAGACAGTTGTGTAGTTTAAGCTTTTACAATGGATTTTAAAACCTAATTTTAAAATTTAATCATATTTCACCTACATTTTATTTGTTCTTTATTAAAACATTTTATAGCTTATTTGTTACATTCATACAGAAGAAACAAAAAATGATAATTTAAGTGAATTTTTTTCTGCATTTTTGGTAAAATGTGGTAAAATCAAAAGTATACTTACAAGAAAACACATTAGTCAGTTAAATGATGAAAACACTGATTTTTTTTTTTTTACTTTCTATTTAAATTTTTCACAGTTTTAAAAAGGATAAGTTGTCACATTAAATCTATGCATTACTTACAGATTTTATTTCTTTTATACAAGTTTTACTGATTGTAAATTATGTAAAATGTTCTGAGCAATTTTTTCTTGTCTCTTCTTTTCTTCTTTAAAAGCCAACTTATTACATTTCTTTTCTGCTCTTCTTGCCTAAAAAAATTAAGGAAACATTATTTTAATGTATTTTAGTGTAAGATAGAAAGTCAAAATATGTAAATAGGAAAATTCAAAGTATAAAATACTTTTTATTTAAAGATATTTAAACATAACATTATTAATAAGTCCTTAATTTAATCAATCATGATTACAACAGCATGAATTCTAAATTGTGATTAATGTCATTGATATAGAGATTCTTTTAAACACTTCCATCCTGTGAGTATGGAGAGCCAAGTACACAATAGAGGTTACTGAATGGTGAAAGACAGGTCCAAATATATACAAGAAAAACTAGTCAAAAAATTTCTGAAATATAGATTCAGATTTTATCCCAGATTCTTCAGAGCAAACTAACTTTTACTTTCTCAATTTTTTGGCCTTCCAACTTAGTAAGTTTAGTAAGGAATATGATTGATGAATTTGTAACTGAAGAGGGCTGATAAAATAGTGGCTGAAAACATTCAAACATTGAAGTTAAGCATTTCTTTGCTGGAAATTTTGTATTTAGGTGTGATTCTCTACTCAACAGATATTTTTATTTTAATAAACAAAAATAGCAAATTCACTAACACCTTATTTGCAGTGGTGATATTCGAACTGCTTACCATTCAGTTAGATTACCAGTTACATTTCTAGATGTAAAGATGCATTATCAGAAATGAAGGTAGAATATTCTGAATAACACCAAATCTTCATCCAATCTTCACTTTCAGACCAATTAATTTAAGAGCTACAACCATACAAGTCACTTCCTGCAATGACTTAAGACAACTTAAGTTTTCACCCCAGTTGTTTATATATGATTACTTCTCACAGTAATGTGAAATGATATTAATAATTACAAGATATCACACACATATGCAAGAAATTCTATTCTCAATAGTTATTGAAAATGTTATCATTTCAACAATTCTTTCTTAGAGCAAAATACATCAAAAAATTTAACATTAAATTTCTAAAACTGACATCTTACACCACCTGCATAAATATTTAAAATTTTGACTTCTTACTTTAGAGAAATAAAGAAAGTTTAATGGCATTCTCAATGAGAGAACCTTTTTTGTACTCCTTTCACTTAGATGGAATTAAGAATACTTTAATTTACTATTCATAACAAGTTTAGCAAGCCCACAATAGAACTTTGATGTATTGATGTTTAGTTTCTCAGAACCTTCTAAAGGTTCTGAGAAACTAAACATCAATACATCTCCCTAAAATACTTCAGATAAGGTATATTAGTTTCAAGTCAGGAATTTGGATGGACAAACTCTCTAATATTCTAATTCCTTACTGATTAAACAATGTAACATGACTGAATGATAGGCAGTTATTGGATATAAAAAAACCTATAACTGGAAGAAGTGAAAATAATACAGCAAACACCTGCAATTATTAGATTATTCAACTTGTTTGAATATATTTATATATATATATATTCTAGCTCTTGAAACAAATCTGTAATTAGCACTCTTTGTCAATAACCATTACCATTCATAAAACGACTGGGACCCAACAGTAACTGAAAAAACCTTACGTAGGAGGATATACATATATGAATTTTGAGATATTATATCAAAATGGCTTTTGCAAACACATGGAATGGCATGCATCTTTCAATATCAAGTCAGTTCAAATCAGCATATCATTGCTATCGAATACTGTATTCATGCATGTATAGGCCACACCCCATTTATGAAATGATACATTTGGGAAAAAAATAAAAATCTTAGAATTACACCAAGGGACAAGAGTAGACCTGTGGGTATAAAGAATTCTGGCAACACTGCAAATTTCAAATGGGAATGAAGTGATTGTTAATGCTTACAGTTGAGTGCTTGCTCAGCGCATGTTAAACATGGGTCAAGTGAGAGTTACACACTGAAGTTTAACCCTTTTACTTTGATGTGGTTAGTTGTACAGTAAAGCGTTGTTTATCCAAAAGCCAACCAACTGAAATGTCGGTTAACCGAAAGCATTCCAGTCAGACTGTGTCATGCCAAATCAAATGTTTTTGATACTAGATTAACTTCTAAAGTATAATTTTTTTTGTTTTTATATTTTTCAATATATATATTTTGTTTGTACAAAATAAAGAAATAATTTTTAATGATACAATAGCCACGATTATTATTTTAAAAACATTTTCTTAAGAACATTAGAGAACAAC